GCTCTTCTGAGCACTATCACTCTTACGTGTTGTGGGCACCCACATTTACTTAAGTGAATGGCTTCTGATTGGGATCTGTCCTTGAAGGGCCAAGAGGAAGCCCTGCCTTTCCCAGGTCCACATGAAACTTCACAGGGCCCCAGTGTGCTTCCCATGACACTCAGGTAGTATGAGGCTCACGTTAAAAGCCAGAGTTTTGTTTCATTTGGGACTGCACTTTCATGTAGAAGAGTTAGATGCACTGTTTATTTTTGCGTGGACTTTTGTGCCCACTTCGGCAGCACATATATTTTTGGGTGGACTTGCTCCATTTTTATTCAAGTTGGTAATTGTCTCTATCTTGGCTGATAACTTTACCCAGTATTCATCCCTAGATGCCAGACCATTATGGATCCCTAAGTGCCTCCCTACAAAATATTTATATTATAGATGCTACAGGACTATCTATGTATGCTACAGATCTGTGTTTGGTAGATGACCGAGGCCACGTGTTGGATATAGACACCAGAGAAAGAATCTTTCTGGGCAAGAGGAAGCACGCACATTCCACCAGTCACAGTCACATAGAGCTCACCTGGCAGCCTGGAGATGTGCCCCTGCCTGTGCATGGCATCTTCTCTGGGCATTTCAGAACTGTGGTGTTCTCCTCTGTTAAGAGAATGAACAGGAGTATTTGTCCCCTTAAAAGTATGGGAGGCCTCATCAGACAACTCATTCCTCAGTCTGGCCCATGAAAGCTCTGCTTCGTGATTTAGCTAACCTTAAGGTCAGCCTTATTTTCTGTCCCTGAGCTTTATCTTTTCCAGTTTTCCTGCTTATTCACTGCTTCACACACTTTTCATCCCTGTTCCGATTCATCCCTGAGCAGGGTTTTTGTGGAGATCACCTGCTGTGCACACACCTTGGTGGCCCTGTGCTGTGGGCAGTCACATAGGGTCCTGCATTTAGAAGTGCCCAAACTTTTTGATCCTTGTCTTAGTCACTGTCTCATTGCTGGGACAAAATACTCAACACCAAGTTAAGACAGAAGAGGCTGATTCCCGTTCAGTTTGTAGAGGTCCATGGTTGGCTGGCATGGCAAAGGGGCATGGCTGGGCAGAAAGCAGAGAGAGATTAAGCGGGGAGGAGGGAGATAGACCCTTCCAGGCCACATCCCCAGTGACCCAACTGCTCTGACCAGGCTTCACATCCCAACATCACATTTAACTATAAGCTAAATTCATCAGTGGATTAGATGAATCCATGATCCAGTCACTTCCCGCAAAGCCCCAGCTGTAAGCGCATGAGACTTTGGGGAGACATTTAGATATAAACCATAACAGTGCTCTGCACTTGCCATCTTGAAATTCTGATCATCTTTAAACAAGGGCCCTTGCTTTTCCATATTGTGTGGGGGCCTGAAAATTATGCAGCCAGTCCTGAGTGCCAGGCACGGAAAAGAGTAGCCTCTGGGTCTGTACTAGGCAGCAACCCTAGGGGCCCCTGATCCACCTGGCTGCTCTCTCCTGTGGTTGCCTCCCCACCCTCACTCCTGCCCACACTGTTGCTCAGCTGTAGTTCACTAGAACATGACCTCTGACCCTTGGCAGTTAGCCCATATTGCTGTCACCCTGACCCAAACTGTTTTGCTTCTGCAAATGCAATCATTTCCATTTCTTCAGTCACCCCCTCAAGATTTATAGAGTAGCAGCTGCTGCTGTCCCTCTGTACACAGACAGCTGACTTGCCTGCTGATTGTGAACATTCCAATAATCCAAATGCTAATGGTATTTATTCAGTCCAGCCGCCTTAGCCCTGAACAAGGTTTATTCTCATTTATTGCTCAGAGACAGTCTGCATCCTTAATATCCTTCTGTTGACTTTGAGTACACCAGCACCACTGGTGTCACTGAGGAACAAGCCAGGCTTCAGGCATGTCAACTCACAGAAATCCCCAACTGTCAGGACACCCACCTTCCAACCACCAGGACTGGCCTTCTCCAATGAGGTCAGAGCCCATGGGTGGAGAGCATTGAACGTGGGGTAGACATGCTTGAGGCCTCCAAGCAGAAAACTGTGTTCCCAGGGGTGTGGATGGGCCTTTTTGTGTGGTCTCTCTAAGTGCAATCTTTTGACTGCACCACATTGGCTAGCGTTTTGGCATTTGTGAGCTAATGTATCTTTAGCACAAGTCTTAGCTCTGCCGCCCATGTAGAAATCAAGTCAAGGGACTTGCACGAGGTCCCACTTTCGCAGGACTTTCAGAGTCCTCCAGAGTCTGGCCTTTGTGCATCCTGAGACTTTACTCCCCTGATGTGCGCAGCAGGAGCCCTGAGAACCAGAGGCTAAGCTGCCTTGGGAGAGAGAGTGGGTCTGCTTTGGGGGCTCCTGTGTAGGATACTCCCAACTCTGCTGTCCCCGTTAGGTTGGACTGGCAGCCATGTGGAGACTCAGGCCTGGGTTTTCCCACCCTTCTTTTGTTTGTTTCTCAGTCCCTTAGCAGAGCAGGGCTATGAGGCTATTCCAGAAGGGTGTTCTGTGGGATCCCTGAGGCCATGAGAGCCACTGAGGTAGAGGAGCTAGTGTTAGTGCAGCATCTTGTTTAAGCTGCTTTGGTGAAAAGGCCAGGCAGAGTGCAGGCCCAAGCTGACAAGGTTGACCTTCCTCAGGCACATGTTCAGCACAGTCCTGCTGTACCCAGCCAGGCCCTTCGGGGCTCTGCTGCAGGTAAAAGTGTGGATTTATTACCTGTGAAAGTGGCAGCTTATGAAGGGTCCTCAGGCTCTCTTCTCTCTAGTTTATATCCCCTGTGTTTGAAATTCATTTTCTCCTACTCTGGATGGGTGGGCTGCTATTGGCATGGCTGCAGGCAGCACCTGGTTCTTGCCAGCCACCACTTAAAGAGGAGAACTTCTCTCTGTACTGATGGATGAGATCTGGCTGCCCAGCCCTGGGTGATCCACTGAAATCCTCATGATAGTCCTGTGAAGTGTGTGTGCACTGTCTTGAAGGGGCCTGTCTTCATTACTTGGTGGAGACAGGGATCCAAGAGGTGCTCCCTGAGGCTGATGTGCTGTCAGGTCTGGATTCCTCCTTTGGGCGGCAGCATTTAATGTTTGTGTGAATTTCACAAGATGGTCTTCTTCTCTTCTAGACCTGCCTGTTGTGGGTGAGCGTTTCTCATGCACATGATGGAAGAAGATGACACTAATTAGCTCATGCGTTGATGAAACAGCTGCCTTGCTTAAGTTGGGGGTGGAGTGCGGAGCAGGTGGCAGGAGAGAGGCCTTGCTCCTAGGCCCCCTGTATCAGGTCTCCTACCTGCTGAAAGGAACTGTCAGCCTCCCTTTCCCAGGGCTCCAGCCCACCTCCAGGCTGCTCCCAGGCAGACACCTCTCCCTTTCTAGTGAGAGGATCTGAGGTGCAGGGGGAGATGCTCCTGTTTTATAGTGGGAAAACTTGGTTCCGTGTGCCAGTCTGTTTTGAACCTTGAGGCTGGTTCCTGTGGGAACAGAAGGGACATCCTCCAGCCCTGCATCGCTCCATTGGGCCATGTTTGAGGGCATTTGCTGCATGCCAATCTGTCTCTCCTGTTCCCTATTTCCCCTTTTTTGCTGAGCTTTGGGTTAGGGGCCATGCCATCCAGGATCCTTTCAGGGCCCCTAGTTAAGAGGGGTGAGGTTAAGAGGAGCAGGTGCTTTGGGGTAGAACTTGAGACCCTGCGAAAAATAGGTGGCCAGAGACTTACAGACACATTGGTAAACCATGATACCTTTGGGGTGCTGTCTGGATGGGTGTGACAGTCACTGTCTGCCCCGTCCTGGCCCTCCACATGCTACTGGCTTCAGGCTTTTTGTATGCCTGTGCTCTGTCCTCTCTGGGGCCTCATCAGTAGGAGGCTGGATTGAGGAGCCTTGACCTTCCCTGAGGGCCTGACCACACAGGTCTCTGCTAGGCATGTGCTCCTTTTTGTTTCTTTTCTTTCTTTCTTTTTTTTTTTTTGATAGGGTCTCCCTGTGTTGTTCTGGTTGCTTGAACTCACTGTGTAGCCCAGCTGACGGTGAACTCTTGGCGATCCTTCTGCCTCAGCCTTCCAGGATTCCAGGCATGTACCACTGCCAGGCTAAGACATGTCTCCTTAACCGATCATTTATGTGACTTTAGAAAGCAAGGAGCCAACATAAAGTTGACTTGCTGGAGATCTCAGCTGTGTTGGCTGCCTGGCACACTCCCTAATGGAGGGCTACCCTTCTTTCACCAGGAGGGTGGGCCTGAGATATTTGTTTTAATGATATCACTGCTCCTGCAGCCTGGGGTGGCAGAGGAGGCCCTGAGGCAGCACCTGGTTTTGAGTGTTTCCTTGTGGTCTGCTTGACTGCTGGCACATTCTTGGTTGGACATGTGTTTATACATTCATTCCTGTGGTGTGGCAGGCTCTGTGCTGAGCACAGAATCCAGGGATAGGAAAGGTCACAGCAGCTCATTGTGTATAGCCTGGAGGACAGGTGGTGCTTGGTCCTGTGTGAAGCCCTGCTCTGGTGTTCAGAAACTCCCTGGGTCTCGTGCTTCCCACCTGCCTTCCTCCCACACATGTGTTCTGCAGCTCTCTGATGCTCTCTGAGGAGAGAAAGGGGACTCTGGCTTTGGCCTCCAGGAGCCCCATACACAAAAGAACAGACTTTGCAGTTAGTGCTGCCCAGTATGTGATGTCCCTGGGGTTGTGGACCTTCGAAGGCTGCCTCAGTGGTGGAATAACCTTACAGTGGAGAGGAGATGCACCTCCCAGTTCCCCCAGCCTGCTGGCTTCGGCTCTGAGGAGTGGTAGGCTAGCATAGGGCTCTCAGCGCTGTCACTTGTGCTATATCCATACTCATTAGTCTTTGTCTCCCCTGCTGAGTTCTAGCTTGTCCTAGGCGCCCAGGAACTGCTCCTTGTGCTGCTGGGTGGTATGGTGTCTATCACTATGGACCCCTGGGTGGGTGGAATAGTCCCACCCAGGTTTCCTGTGCTTCTTCCCCTAGCAACCCGAAGGTCCAGGTGGAGGCCATTGAAGGGGGAGCCCTGCAGAAGCTACTGGTCATTCTGGCCACAGAGCAGCCCCCCACTGCTAAGAAAAAGGTAAATTTCTGCCCGTTTCTCCTGCCCAATGCCTAGCATATCTGTGGGCCCCTTTCCTATGCATGCCATCCTCAGGGCCCCAAGAGTCACCTGATGAGGTGAGGGAAGAAGTCACACACAACTGCAGCAGACGGTAGTGTGCCTGGGGGCCTGGCACAGCTCCAGCAGGGCACCCCCAGTCCCCACACACAGCTTCCTGCCTGGGTTCTTGTTTTACCCACCAGACGTCCTCATGGTGATGTTGAAGGTAGCAGAAGTCCCTCTTGATTTTCACCACCCTGGCTTCTGGGGGCAACTGGACTCAAGGGTATTGGGACTAGGAAGAAAAGGTGCTGGGCTGGGTCACTGGGTCAGCTCTGGCTGCCTATCATGGGCCTTGGGGCCAGGCCAGCTCTGTGTCACTCCTCACTGGTCCCGGACCTGTGCTTCCTAGGTCTTGTTTGCACTGTGCTCCCTGCTACGCCACTTCCCCTATGCCCAGCAGCAGTTCCTGAAGCTTGGAGGCCTGCAGGTGCTTAAGGGCCTGGTGCAAGAGAAGAATATGGAGGTGCTGGCTGTGCGCGTGGTTACCCTGCTGTACGACCTGGTCACTGAGAAGGTGAGTACCCAGATCCTCCCTCCTTCCCCATCCCTTTGTATTTACTTCTGGCTGTTCCTCCCAGGCCCCCTCCGAAATCTATCCCGGTGGACGGATGGCTGATGGACTGAAGAGACTGGGAACATCAAGGGAGGATGTCCTATGGGAGATGACCTCAGCTGAAACTTGAGTGCTGGAGAGGCAGAGTGGGAGGAGGCATTGGCCAGGGCCAGAGCCACCTGTGCAAGGAGGGGCTCAGAGTGGCTGAGGGCCCGAATAGCCAGGTTTGGTCCTCATGGAGTGAAAGGCACAGGGTGGGGTGAGAAGCAGATGGGACAGAGTCATCATAGCAGCTAGGAGCCAGGGTCTGGAATGGTGAGGTTACAGTTCTAGACTCGTGGAGATGCCTCTAATGGGAGCTTTGGCTCAGGGCTCAGCACACAGCCTCGAGAGCTTCCGCACCTTTGTTCCCTGGGAGGAGTCTTGGGATCAGCACACCTTGGTCTTTGAGAGCCCAAGAAGCATTTTAATTAAGGAGGAGAGAGAAGCAGCCAGGCCTAGTTTCATAATTTAGCTGCTGCAGAGCATGTTGGCAGGGCTTCTACAGTTGTTTCTCTTGGGCCCCTTGATTCCCAGGACAGACTGCTGGTTGGCGGAGCCTCACCAGGCAGCCCTGGCTCTGCTGTTGTGTTGGGGACTTCCAACCACCCTCTCTTCCTAGGCTCTCACCCTCCAGACTCACCCGCTGCTTCCAGGCGGAGGGTCCACTCTTTGTAGCTGCCTGTTTCTCTCAGTACTGTCTCTCTCTCTCACCCCTTTGCGGTCTCATCACTCATTCTGTACCCCCTCCCACCCCCAGCTACAGAGATCCAGTAATCAGAACAGCAGGCAGCCCTGTGGTGCTCAGAGTCAATTAGTAAGTTTGGACATAGTTGGTACCCTAAGTTTGGCCAGTGAGTCTGGAGGACGACATACACATTGGCATTTCCTGAGAGAAACTGATCTTTTTCCTGTTGTGTCCCAGGGCAGTGCCTCTTCTGCCACCAGTCAGAGCTGGGTCATGGACAAGGAGGGTGGGCTTGGCCTCTCTGCGGATGGTGTAGACATGGCCATCCTCTTCCCAAGAGGAGGACAGAGAGCTACAGGGCTGGGAGCTGCCTACAAGCTGAGCTTAAGGCAGTCAGGGCCTCTCTGTTCTTACAGTTCCTAAGCGGGGAAGAAAAGAGCCAGCCACATTTTAGGCTGGTCCCAAGGTGCTTGAAAGTGACAGTATCAGCTTGCTTAATGGGGGTGCCATGTGCCCCAAAGCTTCGGTATTGGAAGACAGCATCTAGAGCAAGGAATTCCCATGATGACTTCATTGTCCCTTCTGGCATTGGCTGGGGCCCAGGCTTTCCCTCCTCTGTGTTGTGGCCAGTGATGGGCCTCTCCCAAGAGCCTACAGCCTGCAGATGGCGGGTGAGGCCAGAGCTGACTAGCCTGCCCTGCTCGGTATTCAGCCGGGTGCTGGCAAGCAGTCCATACGTAGCTCTGCCCTCCCAGCACTTTCAGTCATTGTTTGCCTGACGCTCCCAGCTCACAGGAGCTAAGGAGCCTATCTGTGGGCAGGGAAAGTGGGCACAGTGGTGCTGGGCCCCGGGGGGGCGGGGCGCCTGGAGTCCATCCTGTGGGAACGAACCTGGAGGGGAGACGCAACTCCAAAGGCCCCAGGGGAAAAGTGGTGCAGCAGGGATCAGAGTAAGGTGGTTGTGGGGCAGCAGGGCCAAGCCCTCCCAAGGAAGGGGTTTGGACTTTATCATTAGAACTGCCAGTCTCTAGCCAGGTGTGGTGGCACACACCTGTAATCCCAGCATTCTGGGAGGCTGAGGCAGGAGGATGGAAAGTTCAAGCCTAGCCTAGAAATTTAGCAATTTAAGGAGATTGTGTCTCAGAATAAAAAATAAAAACAAGGGCTGGGGATGTAGCTCAATGCAAAGAACCTGGGTCAGTTCCCTGTACCATGCCAAAAAACAAAGACACCAGCCAGTTATAAATGACTGGCAGCCATCAGAGGACTGGAAGAGGCAGGACAGGAACTGGAGGAGGGGGCTGCAGACATCCTGCAAGAAGAAGGCTGCACAGAGCAGAGGCCCAGGGAAGGCTGGGAGGGGAACTGGCAGGATTTAGAAATAGAGTGGAAAAGGGCTATAGGCTTGTCCTGCTGTTAGCCCGTGGCCTTCTGTGGCCATGGTGTCATCGTGCCCCACACAGCCCCTGATCTTTGCAAACTCCCTCAACTCTCTGCCCCCTGGGAGTGGGTAGGGCTTCCTGCTTCCTTGTCAGAGTGTGTTTAGTGCGGCTGTGTGAGAAACTGCCACAGCCTCCCTTGGCATTTTAGATAAGCTGGGTTCTTGGCTGGCAGCCTACAGGGCTGGTTCCCATAGGTTCTGCAGGTGGAGCTGAGATTCTGCATCTGCAGTCATAGGCTAAGCATGTGACTCACTGCCCAGACTTTCCCCAACTCCTCTGTCTCTTGGCACAAAGGCCACCCTCCATGGAGGCATGCCCAGAGCCATGATCTAGGCCCAGTGTGTTCTGGGCCACCGTACTTCTCCACCAGAACCATCTGCCATTCTTCAGACTGAGATGGACTGAAGCTTGTCGTGCTCCCATGTGGGCTGGCCGGTCACTCTGTCCCCATGGGCAACTCCTGTTAACCCAAGAGTCCCTCTGATACTGTAGAGAGGTGAGGATGCCTGCAGTGGTGATGCTGATGACACCTGCTGTCACAGTACGTGACACAGAAGCTCACATCTGTTGAACGTGCACTGTGTTTGGATACTGGCTGTGCACCCACTGTTCCACCGAGTGCTCCCCAATCCCAAAGGGGCCCGCACAGTGTCTCCCCATGAGAGATGATGGCCTTGGTCTCAGGGAGGTCATTCAGCAAATCAGCGATGAACAGGAAGTCGAGCCCAGCCGTCTGCCCCCATACTGTGCCGTTAGATCTGCTCCTCACGCTGTTCAGGAATTTTTATTTTCTTGCTAGAGGATGGGAGCAGGGACCACATAACCATTTTGGTTTCTCTGACACCTGGCAGCGTGCATAGGTGTTTTGATGAGTGCTGTGGGGTGGATGGATGGGACGTGGAGAAAGCAGGACGGTCTCCTCGCTCAGCCTCATGTCTTGGCACCTGAGGGGTATAGCCAGCCTGGTGTGAACTGACTGCCCTCTGTATTCTCTTCTTGCCACCCTACCCTACCTTACCTGGCTGTGTGGATGGCAGATGTTCGCTGAGGAGGAGGCCGAGCTGACCCAGGATGTGTCCCCAGAGAAGCTGCAGCAGTACCGCCAGGTGCATCTCCTGCCCGGCCTGCGGGAACAGGGCTGGTGCGAGATCACAGCCCACCTCCTGGCACTGCCTGAACATGACGCCCGCGAGAAGGTGCTGCAAACACTGGGTGCCCTCCTGGCCACCTGCCGGGACCACTACCGCCAGGATCCGCAGCTCAGCAGGACGCTGGCCAGCCTGCAGGCTGAGTACCAGGCGCTGGCCACCCTGGAGCTTCAGGAAGGCGAGGATGAGGGCTACTTCCGGGAGCTGCTGGGCTCCATCGACAGCTTACTGAGGGAGCTGAGATGACGCTGTCGCCCTGATGCCAGGACTGGACTAGGATGCTGTGAGTGAGGCCAGGGAGCACTGGCTCAGGTGGGCTTCTCAGAAGGCATTAGGCCGGAGGGAAGATTTCCCTTGTGGGGTGAGTTTCATCTGGGCAGGCCTGGCTTGGCTATTAAATAAGACATGAAGGCTGTGGTCTGTCTCCATGTCTGTGTACACTGGGCTCAGTCCTATGGCTGGGGGCTGTGCCTGGGCAGCCCCAAGGGTAGTTGGTGGGGTCACTGGGTAATAGGCCACTGGTGATCCTGAATGATCAGTCCCAGGTGTCCAGGGGCAGGGTCTGGGCTCTTTACCATGCAGTAGTTCTGTGACCTTGGGAAGTCACTTAACCTCTCTGGGTTTAATTCTTCATCTGCCAGAAGAGAAAGCCCTTAAATGAGAGACAATTTGCATAAAGCATTATAGCAGTGGCAACACCCATGCTTGTCCCTTCCCCACCCAGTTTGAGAAAAGGTTGGAGAATCACCTCACTGCTCCCTCTGCCCATGCTCAAGAAACCTTTTCAAGACCACAGGCACTGCCAAAGCCCAGGAGCAGTTCCCCACTGGTGCTCGGCTGGGATGCTGTCAGGGTGCTGCAGGGGCCTGGTTGAACTCCGGAGGACCCTGGCTGTGGGTCTTACTCTGGGAGCAGAGTGATGAGGCTGCGGCCAGCAGTGGAGTGTGGGTGAGCTGGGCCTTTCCTGCCTGTGTCTAGGAAGGAGGCTAAAGAGGCAGCCTCTGGGCTGGGGCAGCCAAGCCTGGCAGTCCCAGCCCCCAGCCCAGGGAGGCTGAGTGCCAGGCCAGGAGCCTGCTGCAAGTTGCCATGGCAACCCTCAGCTCTGGGCTTTCCTGATTTGGATTCTGGTGCATTTGTTTTTCAGCCCTTCCCTGTGCACCAGAGGCTCCCTCCTGCTAGCTCAGGCAGCCCCTCCCACCTCCAGGAGTCCAAGTCTGGAAGGCCAATTTGGGGCAGGCCTCTCCTCTCTCTGGCTCCAGGCTTAGTTTGTAGACATCTCCGCTTTGCAGGGCTGAGGGGATGTTGAGGCCCAGAGAAGCATGGGGGTACGTGGGTGGGCTCCTTCCTTGCAGTCCCCTTCCTGGCTCTTCTCAACCCCTCTTCTGCTCACTTCACACCAAGATGCCCAGGAAGCATGTGACAAGAGCTGTGGCCTGCGCAGAGCCCCTCCCAGGCCTGTGGGAAGCGGAACCCCAGGCACTGTGGAGCAGCACTTTCCCAGGGTGGGACACTGTCTGTGTCAGCCGTTAGAGCCACTTGGGAGCGGAGTTGGCAGAGGAGAGAACGGTGCCCAAGGGAGGCTCAGGGATTCGCCTGGGTCACACAGCTTGAGTGCCAGCTGGGACAGTGGGCTTGTGTGAGACCAGAAGGAGTCACGGCTCCTTTGTCAGGCAGTGGGAGGAGGCAGGCGTCCTGGCCGAGCTGCTGTGTCCATGCAGAGCAGTATTCAGAAATGCCATTCTGGGCTGGCCACAGCCAGCAGCAGGAGGCAGGCTCCTCAGGGTTTGGGGGGATGAGGCTGTCCTTGCAGAGATGAGCAATGAGTTGTGGAGCAGATGCAGGCCTGGGACAGACCTGGCGAAAATGTACGGTGCTCTGGGGAGATTGTGCAAGGGCCCTTGGGATGACAGTGGGCATGGCTGGGGTGGGACATCCCCAAGTCCTCATGGCCTCTCTAACCACCAGGTGCCAATTCAGGGTATGGAAAGGGTTGTGCCCAAAGGACCGTTGCCAGCAGAGACCTGACCAAGTTCCCAGTGTCCTCAGACAACAGCACACACAGCCAAGGGAGACTTGGGGCTGTGAACCCCTCAGAGACCATTGGGGCAAGGGGAAGAGCACCTGGGGCTGCGGTGAGGAGGCAGGAGAAGAGCTGCAGCCAAGTGCAGACAGATTCGTCCTCCTTCCCAGATGGCACTGGGGAGAAGGAACCTGTTTGGCCCAGTTGGTGTTTGTCCTGGGTCCTTCAAGGAGCAGGCAGCAGCAGACCTGGAACTCTGCTCAGTCACCGCCCAGTTCCTTGACTACTGGCTGCAGGTCTGAGGATCCTCTTCTCTGCCTTCCCTTTGGGCATGTCCTAGGGACCCTGGATCACAGGTGATGCAGCCTTTCTGCCTGGGCCTGTCTTTCTTTCTTCTCCTCCTCCCCTGGCCTGTCAGGACAGCCTGAGGGCAGTGGCTGGCACCTACCCCACTGGCCCATGCCCTGATCCTGGGCTGGGTTCATCTTGGCCCATGGTGGGAAGATGACAAGGGTGGGGTGAGGGTGAAGGTCCCCGTCCTAGCCTTTAGCAGGCTTCAAAAAAATTCATTTGTTCATTTATTCTTTCATTGCCATGTTATTGATTGCACATTAGCATTTATCAGGCCTCATGGTTCTAAAGTGGTCACAGGCCCTGCCCTCAGGAGCTCAGTATGGTGGGAGGCGGGCTCAGTGTTGCGGGTACTGTGAAGGCACTAAGCAGGCCCCACCTAGTTGGAGGTAACTGAGATAACTGAGCCGAGACCTGCAGGAGGCTCGGAGGACAAGTCAGTTAAAGTGGAGAGGGTTCCGCCCTCAGAACATTTGGGAGGGCCCAGGAGTGAATGATGCTGGAGGGCAGGCGGAGCAGAGCCTCGTGGTTCAGTGGAGACCCTGTGCTGCAGTGCCCTGTGAGCCTTGCCAGGGACTGTGCCCTCACCCTGATGGAGTGGAGAAACAAGGGGGCTCGCTGCTCCCAGCCCCATGACGCCTTGCCGGGCTCTGAGCAGGACCGTGACAGGTGAGCATACGGTACGATACCAGGTGAGTGCCGGAGAGCTGAAGGACAGCAGGGCAGCGGGAGGGGACAGAGGTGCCAGAGGCCTCTGAGGAGGTGTGGTATGGACTGGGGCAGAGGACTCGGGCGGGAAGGGCCCGGAAGTGTCCGGTCAACATAAAGGAAAGTGAGCTCACAGGCCACAGGGAGGTGTTCAGGACAGAGGCCTGCTGTGCTGGGTCCCTCTTGTGTGGCAAGAGAAGGGGCCAGGACAGCGGTAGAGGATGTAGAATCCAGGGGCAAGGGGGTGTGAGGAGAAGCTGATGGTGAGAAGGCCGCGGTGCCACCAGCTGTGCCTATAGGCGGTTAGGAGGTCCCTGCCTCTCTGGCTGGTGAGGAAAGAGGCAAGGAAGATGAGGCCTTGTTCAAGGCTTGAGCTGAGGGCTCTGTGGAGGTGCAAGTTACAAAGTGGGGGATAGAAGATGGAAAAGGACTGGGACTTTGCAGTGGCATGGCTTGGATGTGTTTATATGGAAGTGTCTACAGGACAACAGGCAGCTGGGGCCACAGTCTAGAGCCTTAGCGAAGGGCTCAGGGATGAGAAGGGCTGGGCATGGGGGTCAGAAGCCTGGTGAGCTGGGTGTTGGACACAGCCACTGTTAAAAGTTAAATTATATAAGCTTATGATTAACTCGCGGGTTAGAAAGCAAAGGTAATATAATAAGAACCAGTAAGAAAAAATGCAGTGAAAGAAGAAAAGGAAGTAATGAAGAGTAGAAACTAATGAAGACAGATAAACTAAGAGAAAATCAAAAGTTGTTCTTTGGACAAGAGGGAAGACACATCACCAACCTCGAGTGAAAGGGGACAGCACTGTAGACTCTACAAGCATTAAAAGGATAACTGAATATATACACGCAGCTCCAGATGAGTAGGTTGTAAAATCCACATGATAGTGATAGTGTGGAAAAGTGGTTTTTCACCATATCAGTTTCCTATTGCTGCTGTAACAACTCACCAAGAACTTAGTGCCCTAAAACATCCAAATTTACTTTCTTACAGTTCCAAAGTCTGACACAGTTCTGTCAGCATCAGACAGAGCTGCAGTTCTTTTGTAGGCTCTGGGCTGGATCTGTTTCCTGCTTTTCCCAGCATCTAGAGGAAATTCTTTGCCTCAGAGACTTTACCACCTTCTAAGCCAGAAAAAGCAAGTCAAAGTCTTTTCATATCACAGAGCTCTGAACTCTTCTGTTCTGTTTTCCTTTTTCCCCTCGCTCTGCTCAGGATTGAACCCAGGACCTTGAGCATGGTAGGCAGACTCTCACCTCAGAGCTGAATGCCCAGCCCTTGGTCTTCCACTTTTAAGGGCCTTTGTGATTCTATTGGGTCTGGATAATTCAGGGTCTTTCCTATCTTAAAACCAGTCAGTTGGTAAGCTCGGCTCATCCACAAGCTTAATTCCCCTTGCCAGGGAATGTGACACATTCACTGGCCCCAGGGATTAGGGTGTGAGACTCTTTGGGGAGCCACTGTTCTGCCTGCCACAAACACAAACTACTAAAACTTACTCAGGAACAAATAGATGAGTTCTGGAATCCTATATTAAAGGAACTGGATTCATAGTTTAAAATGTCCCTACAATGAAAACTCTGGGCCCAGATGTTTTCATGGGCAGATTCTCCCATATCCAAATTCTACACGATCTTCCGGAAAACACTTCCAAAGTTGTGAATAAGGTCAGCATCACAGATACAATATCAAAGAGACTGTGAGGGAAAACATGCTGTAGATGAAAGAGGGCCAGGAGGGGACAGGAGGGGAGGTGCTGGAGCCTATGGTAAGGGTACCAATACCCTCAGTGCAGAAATCGCCGGTGACGTATTAGCAGATCAAATGTAATAATTTATAGAATGATAATGCAACATAGCCAAGTGGAGTTTGTGCTCGGAAAGTGAGTTAGTTTCGCTCAAGTCCCCATATGTACAGACTGAAGAAAAGGCCACACAGTCATCTCAAAAGAGCAGAAAAACTTGGCAGCGGAATCCAATACCCATTCGTAATGAAACCTCTTGGCAAACTCAGAATAGAAGGGGGCTTCCTTAACTTTATGAAGGGAAACGACATAAAACCCTGCACCCGACATCAGACCTGATGGTGGAAGACTGAATTCCTTCCCTCAGATTGAGGACAAAGGCGAGAATGTCTATTCTCATAACTCCTTTTCAATATTGTACTGGAAATCTGGGCAGTACTTTAAGGCAAGAAAAGGAAATAAAAAGCATACAGATTGAAGATGAAATAAGGCTATATTCTCAAATGACAGAATTGTCAATGTAGAAAATCCTGTGGAAGATGGGCGTAGTGGCACACACCTCTAATTCTACCACTTGGGAGGCTAAGGCAGGTTTGCTGTGTTGACCAGGCTGGGCCAAGAACTTGTGATCTTCCTGCCTCAGCCTCTTGTCACTGGAATCACAGGTGTGCACCACTATGCCTGACTTTTTAAATCAATAAAGTACTTACCGTGTACTGTGTCTGTAACTTGCTATTTTGAGGCATAAGAGCAAACTTAGCACATATATCTTTATTTACAATTTCACAGCTTTATTCTTATTGTGGAGCTTTGCAAACCTCAGTCTGTGATTTTTTTTCGCTTTCCTTATCAAGTGGAGAACTTTTTGCCTTTTAAGGGGAGGACTTCACAGCTTCTCTGTGGCACGTCAGAATTGTCACTACTCTTGCATCTTGGGGTCATTATTAAAATAAGTTTCTTGTACATGGGCCCTGTGATACTGTGACAACCTGAGAGCCAAGGTGGCTCCACGTGACAAGCAAGTGGCGCCCTCAGTGTGTACACACCAGGATGCCTGCCATCATCAACAAGATGGAGGTGGATGGTGTGTGTCTGTGTTACTCAGAATGACATGCAGTTTCAAATACTAGGGAGCCAAGCGTGGTGGCACACGCCTGTAATCTCAGCACTCAGGAGGCTGAGGCAGGAAGGTCACCATGAGTTCGAGGCCAGCCTGAACTAAAAGTGAGACCTTGCCAAACAAAACAAACCTGTAGGGGCAAAGTTTTTGTAAGACATGAGGTAGGGATGACCTGACTCCACTCGGAGGGCACAAGGGAGCTGCATGTGGGGTTGACTTTCTGAATCTTGCTTATAGTGGGGTTCTGGGGCTGCAGATGTCCAAATCCTAGAATCATACAGCAGAATATGGATTTTACTTCATGTGAATTTCAGCCTCAATTATACAAAGGTATACTGGCCCAGGAGACCCCCTGGTTATGTCTCACCAGGTCTGTGCTCGGGAGATGCCACACCTGCTGTCCCCAACTCCAAGCCTGGGACTGCCTACTTTGGCTTGGAATCTGGTGCTGTGGCTGTATTTACACCAGGGAAGTAGGGACCAGCTATAAAACTAAGCTTAACTTGTTTTGTTGATAGTCTGGACTTAATGAAGAAAATGTTGATAATGCCAATTAAATTTGTGTGTTGTTTGTGGTAGTTAACAGGAAGTGTCTTGTGGTATTTGACAGTTGCCGTCTGATTCAGCAAAGAAGTCACCTAACAAGTTCAATCCCAACATGTTTTTGTTTTACTTTATCTAAATCCTTAAGTAACTGAAAATATCAAGCAGCATTCATGCCACAATTAGACTTTGTCAGCGGTAACCATAGGTTGGCTGTGGATATGAAAACGCAGCAAAAATCGGAGAACACCTTCCTCAAGAATCAGTCAGGCAGGCTTTCCACTGAAGGATAGTACCGATTTTAATGTTATTTGTAAATTGTATGTTGCAATTTTTTTACAGCCACAAAGTGCATAATAAAGGAGTGTCTTTGTGCATCTTCTGGCCGCCCATGGCTGCACACAGAGGAGGACCCACACCCAAGCCATGCTCCCCATTGGCACCAGAGTCCTGAGGAGAACGCGCCGGCGCTGGGAAGGATAAGTAGGCATGGGGGAGGGGTGTGGAAGTGTGGAAACCTAGGCAGGTGCACCAGGGAGGAAGAAGCGGCCACCTACAATTGGAACCTAAGGGTGTTAAGAGGCACTGGGTCTGAAGTCAAACGGGTGAGGGGCGCTCAAGGGGCACAGTTACACCGACACTTTCTGGCTGTACAGACGAGATGGAGATCAAGGGCTCCTTCTCATGTCCCTCAGTGGATAGGCGACGCTGGCCTCGGTAGAAAGGGGATGGGATCACAGCTGCAGAATGGCTTTTGGGGGCCATGGGGGGGGAGCCCTGCAGGGTGGTAAGGAGAGCAGCATGACAAGCTGAGGGGTGCCACGGGGACCTGGGACAATTAATCTCTGCCCCCCCCAAACTAAAGGGGTCAGAGCAGGACAGAGGCAGAGGTCCTCCATGGATGGGGGCGGGGAGCCAGCGCCTCCTGAGAGCTGGCTCAGCCACGGAGTTGCACCCCTCACTGTTGGCCCAGGCTGTGCCCATGAGAACAGAGGAGTTGCAGGATTTCTGGGCGGCACCTGAGCCTCAGCTGGGGCTCCACAAGCCCTCTAGTGCCTCCCCGATTGCCAGCTCCTTGCCCTCCAGTACCTTTGAGTGGGCTTAATCAGTTCATGGTTTGAGACTTTCAATGACGTTGTCAAGCACAAGCTGCACCTTTGCTAGACACCGGAGGCAAACAGGACACATGCTCGCTGTTCCCTGAAGAAAACGTGCTTCCTGGTGAGGCCACGCTGACACCAGAGGTTGGGGCAGTGGGGCAGGGAGCCAGACAGAGGCCCAGGGGCGGCCCGGCATTCTTCATCGTGGTAAATGGGGGGGGTGACTTTAAGTGATCGTGAATATTTACCCAAATGCTATTTTAATATGTATTAGGAGAATGTGCTTAGCACCTCAAACAACTTAAAAGATACTGCTTCAGAGAAAGCTATCCTAAAAGACGTGAGCCAGGCATAGGGGTGCACATCTGTAGTTCCAGTTGCCCAGGAGGCTGAGACGGGTTGGAGCCCTGAAGTTTGAAGTCAGCCTGGACAATGAGGCAAGACTTCCATTAAGATAAGGATGAAGATACAGCAAAGGTAATGCCTGAGGAAGAGACAGGCTGTGACGGGCCTCCTGGGAAGCACAGGCACCTTGGGAAACCCTTCAGAGCGCCACATGGGTACAGATGATAGGGCCTCGTGTTGGAGAGAAATGGCCAGCAGCCAGCCAGAGGGCTTTTTAGAGGTGAGACCTGGTCAGACACGTGTCTCCAGGGCCAAGGATGAAGGCTGGTGGGACCTTGACAGAAATCCCTAGGAGCTGCAGGGCCTTGGCCTCTGCTATAGGGAAGTGGGGCTTAGCCCAGGGGCTGGTGGGGTGTGGTGACATCAGGTGAAACAGCTGAGGACAGTGTGGATCCAGTGCTTAGGCGGAGTATGACAAAGGGCAGCAAAAGCTGTGCGAATGTCCCACAGCTGGCAAGGGTTTAGAAAGGCCGGGAGGCCACTGGGGATGGTGGGCAGCTGAGGAGCATGAAGCCACGATTTCTCGTGCCCCTGAGCAGGCGTCCTGGGCCATGGATTCTGCAGTGAGCAGAATAAAGCTGCTTGCTTGCTGCTTGCCTACACACTCGAGACGCATGGAAGGCAGAGGACAGCGGTATGAACGGGCAGCAGCAGAGGAACTTGACAGTGGAGACACTAGTAGATGTTCAAGAAAGCACTAGGATTTTGCTGCAGAAATACATTCCACACAGGGCAGCCATGAAGGCCCAGGTCAACGTGAGACATGCTTAGCATGCTTAAGGGAGGACGGGACAGGGGCAGAAGCAGAGTGACAAAGAGCAGTGAGAGTCAAGATGTCAGAGCCACCTAGCTGAGCTGCTCACAGCTTCTCAGCCTGCAGGAAGTCCCGAGGTGATAGATTATCAGACGCTGACTGACTTGGAGCAGTTTGTCCTCACTGATGGCTTAGGCCAGGTGATAAGTAGTGAGTTAATCTTCATTTTTTGGTACCTGGACATAGAAGTGAGGGGCCTGATAGTATGAGCCGGCAGTGAGTGGGGATAACAGCAGGGCGAAGGGCTGTGCGCGTGGTGGAGGAGAGCGGCAGAGCCCACTCGGGGTGCCTCCAGCCAGAGATCGTGTGGGCACCCAAGTGGAAAGTGCAGGATGCGGCTGGGCGTACCAGCTGGCTTCCTGGGACAACCTGGCTGAGCCAGAAGAGAATGGAACAGAATGAGTCAGTGTGCCGCTCCGGGGTTTTGATGCAGGTTGGGACATTCGACAGGCCCAGGGGCACAGTCCTCCCTCTGGGCTGGCATGTGCCTGTGAGGCCCTGCAGGAATTGTGGCGATGTAGCTCTTCATAAGAAAAGGCAAAGACGACTCTGGACTCTGACCTGGCTTCAGAGTGGACTTTATTGAGAAAAGTTAGTGTAAAAAACATTGAAATACATAAAATTTAAATAAGACAGCAAAATTATACCTTGTAGCTATAGTAATCACAAATAAGATAAAGTCTAAATTATTGCCTAAGCAAAAGCTACTGTCAGGCTTCAGCTGCAAGCCCAAGGCAGGAAACATTACACTCATTAGAGAGCCCAGTGATGGAATTTGCATTTGGAGCTGGAAGAAAGGGGGAAGAAAGCAAGTTCTGACTATGGCAGGACAACAGCCTAACCCAAGAAAAGCAACTTTATTAATGTCCTGCAGCGGAGTACATTAGTAATTGTAGCCATGCGTTACAGCTCTCATTTCATTTCATACAGAGTAATCAGTTTTCTTCAGGGTACATTATGTTAGGTTTCACGTGGTTTAGCCCTTGGAAGGCTGACCTCTCCGCCCCACTCCTTTTCCAAAGACTATCTCCTAAGATGCCCAGATCACCTTTGGTCATTCAGCACCTCACTGCGGCCCCTGGGCTGGAGGGGGCCACTCGCTCCTGAGCAACCCAGCAAGCCCCACAGGGGCAAGAGTGCTACTGACAAGTGAATGTGAGATTCTCTTTGGTTATGGAACTTTTATAAAAAATATAGCTAGAAATATTCTTTGAACTCTACAAGCATTTTGTGACCAACTTACAAGTATGTAATTAACGTCCTTGCAGAATTTACCACCTGGCTGGGTTCAGATCTGCCGCTTCCTCTACGGGAGCTAACGTTAGTGTTAGGTTCTCTACTTAGCAAACGCATTGGGTGCAGAACATAACATCTCAGGACACCTGGGGCTGGGCAGCTGGCGAGCATGGACTCAGATGCTCTCCATGGCTTTGAACTCACTGAGTGCCTGCACAGGGTTGACATGCTTCTTCTGTGATGCCCGCTTAATCTTGGTCTGTGTCTCATCCTGCTTCTCTCTCTTCACCAATGGCTTCTTCTCAGGTGCCTTCATCTTCCACGACACGGCAGGAAGGTTAAGGGAAGCCATACCCTGCGACTTCTGGTACTTGGTGGAGGCTACGTAGGACGCCTTCACTGTCTGCACTACGGCATTCATCAAGTTCTTGGCTGCCTGAATCAGGGACATAGCGCTGTCCACCTGCGAGACACAGGCACAGGTGAACAGGTGAGATGGGCCTGACAGGAACGACCCCACCCCGGCCCACCACTCGTTCGCTTCTCAGGGGCTGCTCTTAACCAAAGAGCCCAGAAGCACCTGTTGCAGATCCTTGGTGGGGGGATGGGCTGATAACAAATACGTCAGGGGCTATCATCACCTTGTACACCCCTTACCCCTCAGGTTTCATTCACAAAACAAGCCAGAGACAGGCAGCCTTCGTTTTGAACCACGGCTGATGGCAGAACTGAGCATCAGCATTACAGAGGAGGAAGGGAGTCAGGGAATGGCTTTAAAGGAAATCAAAAGGAAAACAGCAAGGCCTCAGGACAGCCCTGCCCAGACATCCTGTTTTCACTGCCTAAAGAAAGAAGGGCCTAGCCTAAGGCCTGATCAACAGGAAAAGGAACAGCTATACTTCCTAACCCAAGGAGCATCAAATACCTCAGTGAGTGGCCAACTCTGTTATGTACATGGCACCACCTGTCACCAAGCACATATTACGCAGAGACACAGTTAAGCAGGGAGCCTCCAATCCCCAGGGACTGAGATGAAACCTGCAGCAGCCTGTCCATTTGGTGCAGCCACAGAGCATGTGTGCAGAGGCCACTTCCCTCTCCAACAACCTTCCTTACCCCTGTACTCACCCCAGAGACAACGAGCTCTCCGCCGAGGTTCTGCACCTCAGCTTTGACCTTGCTGCAGATGTTGAGCTGGTGGCAGTAGAGGGCTATGCGCTGCAGATATGCCAGCAGGTCCTGCTTGCAGGCCGAGTCCGGGCACTGTTGGGAGAACAAGCTGAGCACCAAGCCCTCTAGACTGAGCCTCGGACCATTTCTGAGGCTCAGGGTAGCACTAATCACTTCTTCTCTTCTTCCAGGAGCAAAGGGCAAGAGAGATGATCGCACAGCCACAAGGGCACAGTGAATACTCTCACTACAAAACTATGGGGAAACCACCTCCAACCTTCTAATAGGCAGGAGTCTATGGCCCCACAAGCAGCAGCCAGGTACACAGAAGTCAGAATAGAACGTCTTCAACTACACATGCTAAACATCCAAACCAATGGTCTTCTGCCCTGAGGCACTTAGGATGCACACAATCAGCATCTGATGACAGGAGACAGTCACACTGGACAAAGACAGAAGATAAGTAAACCTGTGATGCCTGCTTAAGAAGCAAGAAGAGCTGGCTTAGGAGGGCACGAGCGTTCCCAGCACGGCTCTTCCCCCAGAGCCTTGGGCCTAGGCAATAATGGAGTGATGTAAAGTGAGGTCTGCAGTCCGTGCTGGAGGCTTCCAGTCTTACTCTTAAGAAGTCATTAAAGCAGGGCACTTTATAACGACAGTGTTGGTGGCTGCATGAAGAATGGAGCGGAGGGAAAAGTAGCTAAAAGGATAAAGCACAATGCTTCAAGCAAGTGGTCTGGATTTCTGGATTAAGTTGTTGATTGAGGACAGACCAAGTAGTTTCATGAGAAGCAACCACACACACCTCTTATTGCACTATGTAGTGGGGGCAGGGGAGTTGAAGGATGACTTCAGAATTTTTGCCTTGGGTCATGAGGGACAAGTGTCATTCATTCGAAGCCTAGATGAGGCTCAGTTTGGATGATTCTCAGGGAAAAGAGTGGGGAGGATTTGTAACCACAGAGAAAAATTATAAGTGTTAAAAGCATCACAGGAAATGTGCTGTGAAGGTTCCAGGAAGTAGGTACCGGTCAAATGGGGGAACAAAGGGGCAGAGCATGGTGGCTGAAGACACAGCATGAAGGACACAGAAGTCGTCTCTAGGGGACAGGCACACCAGCCTTCCAAAGCACTGGCCACCAAAGGGACTCCTGACACTTCTGGTTCCAGTGTGTGAGGGCCAGCAGAGTGGAAGTTATGAAGACAGAACTAAGACAAGACCAACAGGAGAGCTTGGTTTTAGCTCTGGTTTGGTCTGCTCTGATGCAAACTAGGCCTAGCTCCTAAGATGTACCAAAAAAGATACAGGCATTTAGAAATTTTTAGAGATGAGTGACAGCACTGTGACCCACAAGAATGGCCATGAACAGCTCCCTCAACAGTGGTCTGGGCTGGGCCCAGGGTAAGTCCGTCACTTACGTGGTCTGCAATGGTTCGCCCAAGCTTATCCATTCTCGATCCTGCCTCAGCAATTTTCTTGGCAGCGCTGATCACATCTGATGTGTTTTTGAGTGGCCCTTTACCTCTGAAAAAACAGAACAAGGCTCTCCATCTCTGTGATACCTCTGCCAGTTAGAGAATCGAGAACAACAGAGTGTGGGGAGGAGGCAGCCCGCTCCGCACAGGGCGCAGCTTACCGGGTGAAGTCAGTCATCTCCATCATGATCATGCACATCTGCTTGGCCAGCACGATGATGTCGTTGCCACTGTCATCCCACTTGGACACTTCAGCGTCCAGCTTGCTCTTTTCTTCTTGGAAGCTGGCCACTTGTTCTGCAATCTTTGCTTTTTGCTCCTGGGGAAGCTGAGCCATGATCGCCTACATCGGAAGCACGAAGAGCTCTTACATAGAGAGAATATGAAGTTCTCCCAGTGTTAGCAAGGATATTTCCAACAGGCAATCAGTGTCACAAGTAGGATAATGCTTTAGTAGGTTTCATTTTGCCGGAAGGGCTATTTCTTCTCATTTCTCTCAGAAGTTTAAAAGCCTAAAATTCCCAACCCCCTTTCAAGAACAAGTCTTGAGGGAAAACAGCGTGTGAAGGGTAGAAGGCTAATGGGAGCCTCACAATCACACCTGGGCAGGGATGGAACCTGGCGAGCTTAATGGTTTAAGTTTCATCCTCTGCCTCTTGCAGTGGAGACAGGAAAGGAGAGGCGGGGATAACGGATGTGTGCAGCCCTTTGTCCTGTGGGCTCTTAATGGACATTTCCAAATTTTCAAGGCGAGTGGTTGTAGAATGCAAATTCTGAAGGCAGAAGGCAGAGATGACGATGCTGAGGAAGAGACCTCCTAACTACCCGTCAGGGGACTTAGAGCTGCACAGTTTCAGCCCACAGCCCGAGGCCGGCTCTGCTCAGCTTCCAAGTGTGCTCGTGCCCGAGCGGGGCTAACAAAGGAACTGCTGGCTGTTCACGATGGATTTCCAAGGAGTGAAAAAATAGACTCCTTAGAAATATTCCTTGGCATTCTTCCAGAAACATAAATGCCATTGATTAAAGATTTAATGACTCAGATGAATGCAATGGCTCTGACTGGTTTCCTTGAATGTACCACTGTTATTTCTTTAAACCCATGAATAATTAAATAGCTCATACCCATGGTTATCAGTGAAGTAGGCAAAGGCAGCAATCTTTTTCAAATTTCATGATCATTTTTAACAAATGCGGCATTGACTAGATCCTAGGCTTCTCCTGACCCAGGGCTTTATCAAAAACCAGAGCCTCTGCGCACAGCTGAGGCAGCCCACATTCCTGCCCTGCTTGGGCTAAGGACACTTCAGGAGAAACTCACACCTGATCAGCAGGTGCCACAATGCATGTTAACTTCAGTCCTGCTGCCATAAAAAGAGAAAAAGGCCAGGCCAGAGAGAGGTTACTGAACAACTTAAGGGGTGCTCTTTACCCGGGCACTCTGGCCAGCTATCAGCTGGTCATCTTCTGTCTGGACACTTGTCCTACTTCTGACATCGAAGTCTTCTGTCTCAAAGTCGGAGTCATCCAGTTCCTCAGGGGTCTGCCACAAAAACAGAGGCCGTGAGTCAGACATAGCTGTAGGCCATACTGAGCCTCTTAGCCAAAAGCATGGAGGCCCAAAATGCTAGGATTCATGGTGCAGAGTTCTTAACACTTGTGGGTAAAATCACTCATCATTCTTGCATGGATCCTACACCAGCACTTTTCTTATTTATTTTTGTAGACTGGGTCTCTATGTTGTGCAGGTTGGTCTTAGGGGATCCTCCTGCCTCAGCCTGGCTCGTTTTCGTTTTTTAAACTTTAATACTTTTAGGACAAAAAGATAATTATGTAGTATTGGATTCAGTTTTAGGATGTCAAAGGCTGCTTTGAGGAATAAAAAGGAACAATATAGTCTGAATATTTGCTGGTTGGGATGGTACTATGGATTGAACCCAGGGCCTCTGCACTGAGCTGCATCCCCAGCCCTTTCTGACACAGGGTCTTGCTAAGTAGCCTGGGCTTGAATTTATAAGCCCTCTTGCCTCTGTGGGATTACAGATGTATACCACCACGTCTAGCTTTATTTTTTTTAACATTTATCAAAAGAAAAGGGGTGATACCAAGGGACTGATTGCTGGTTCTAGATCTTTGCTCTAATTATGAAATACAATTCTTATTTTGTACAAACTCCCAGTCTCTCTTGATTAGCTACTGACTGGAAACACGTTATCTCCTGGCAGTTATCGGTAAGAGGGCAGCAGTTGGAACAGCTGGGGTTGGCCCTCAGCCCAGCTGGCCTTCCTGTGACAAGAGGGCAGTGAGGAGAAGCCCTCATCTGTACCAAGCCCCCGACCCAGGGGCTTGTGGTGGCGAGGTTCAGATGGGAGGAGGTGGGAGAAGTGCTGCAGAACTGCCCACACCATCTCAGGTTCTGAGCTGGAGAGAGAACAGTGGGTGGGAATCCTGCAGTCCTGCTGACTTGATGGCATGAACACAGT